GTAAATCTAGAAAATTCAAGCGGAGGGCGAACATAAAATAATCTAGCATCCAAATAACAATCCCGTAATTCGTGTGCAACAGTTTTTGAAATGGAACTCCTCGAAGCTTGGTATATATACCTTAGGAGAATTTAGGGAATAAGTTGGGATTGATTTTAGCTACTTTAAGAGAGTTTTGATAAGTTCAAAGCGGCACGTCGACTTATGAGACAGGCTAATGCAAAGGTAAGGTGGATTTTGATGACGCCCTTAAGCCTTTAGCAGTCTCTTTTTAAAATCCTCTCACTCCATTATGTTTTTTGTTTTTTTTATATCTCCCTGTGTTATTGTCAAAGCTTATCAATTAAAAAAGTTTAAACCTTGTAACTTTCCAAACACAGAACTAATAGTTGTGATTATTTTGTCAAAAAAAGTCTTACATACACATAGAAAGTGTTCAAGGGTCGTTTCTACACCTACTTTTTGGGAGCTTCTACAGTAATGCGTGTATGGTAGCCCCAGTCTACTGCAAGAGTTCTTAATCCATTCCCTTTGAATTCCAAGGGTTGACAAGTTCTTTCTTTAATTGCTGTGATCTGCGCTTGATGCCTATTTCGACCCGTCCCCCACTTCACCCCTATCCCACACCTCTTTCGAGAACAAGGCAATATCGGGTACCGAATATAAGATTAACTCTAAAGCAAGAAAAGTTACGAAATTGTAAGGTATTGGGTTGAAACGGGAACTTGCTATTTGTATGAGTATTACGAGTAGAAGCCTCTTTTTATAGATTACCAATAGGGAGGAATCGCTCAATCTGAGAACCGACATGCTTGCATAGGCCTTACCGCGTATTTATTTTCAGGATTATGTTTTTTTGATTCCTCGCTTGGAGTTTTGGGCACAGGAGAATAAAGGACCAAAATTCATAGTTGTCCAGGTGGCATCCTTCGTCATCATTGGTACAAGAATCAGCCTAACTACCTAAACTAAACTAACCTCAAAAGGCAAAGTCAGCATATAACGGAGTCTTTACTTTATTGGAGCATCAAAATATGTCCTAAGTAGGTCGGACTTAGCTTGTAAGTATTATGGACTTTGCTTAGAAGAGTGGACTGCTCTTTAAAAATATTTATAATAATATGTTTTTCAGTTTCATTGAAACAATTCATATTTTTATTTGCATACATTTTTTAAAGTGCCAAAAAATGAGCTCACTTAAAAATATTGTATAAATAAATTTGCTGTCTCATATTTTCTGCCATATTTGCTGCCACAGCCGCGGCAATCACTGGCCAAAATCTTGTTAACAAGCTTCATTAACGTCATTTTTATATAACCTGTTGATATATGGTCGCCTAAGCGCGCCAACTGACGGATCAGCCTGCCAGCCAGTCGACCCGCAAGCGACGCATGCAAATCCAGCAACCACAAACGTGGTAGGTGTCTGTGTGTTGCACGTTGCTGATTGTCGGCTTAAAAATTGACTAACGCTCAAATACATGCTGTTAGTTTTATTGTTGTTATTAATACRAGTACACGTACAAGCTGATGGCAACTGTTTTGCATTCACCACTCGCACACGCTTTGGCAGCGGCAATTTTTCGGCGCGGCCGCCATGCGGCTTGTTGCTCTTAATGCTTGCCGATTATTTCGTTCATAAAATTGCCGCTTGCATGAATTGTTTTATACTTCAGTCAAAATACATATTTTTTTTTTTGGACGAAGTCTTAATTAAAATTGGCATTTCGGTGGCGTTGATGTTTACGTTGACGTTGGCGTTGACTGTTGCTGCCGTAATCACGGTAATATTGTTATGGTGTACCTGTTATTGCCGGCATTTAATAGCTACACAAGAAACTAGGCGTGTGACTGATAAAAGACAACATCAACATCAGCATCAGCGTCTGCATCTGTGTATGCAAGTGTGTGTGTGTGTGTATGTTGCTTGTACACGCCCACGTCTGTTGATTAAGCGGCGTAACGTTTTGACTGCTTGTTGTCGGTTTTTTAGTGGCGGGTTCGGCTATTGGACTTTCTTGTTTTGGAACTATCATTTTTAAAAAGCTGCAATTTTGCTTCAAATGATCGTTTAAGCTTCCAATTTAGAGGCAGCTGTAAACGTAATATAGATATTTTATGCATATAGAAATTATTCAGTTGACTAGCTAACAATGTGACTTAATATTTCGCWTTTTTTTTAATTAAACTATATCGTGTGACTTTTGGAGAAGCAAAAGTTATAGTGGTTTGGCTATCAGTGATTGGAGCGCCAGTTTAAATCAGAATAATTCAACTAATATGTTTTCCTTCTGGATATCTTATCGAAACCTCGATTGGTTTTGCAGAGTGGCAATTCTGGTCATCGATAGCGATCACATAGGCCCACAGAGCATATCGG